TTGTGGGAAAAGCCAATTGACATCGAGGACCAGGTCTTGAAATTCAAGAAACTCTTTAAACCGGGCGCAGACCATGTAACATGTGGAGAACGAATAATTCTGCACACGTTAGAGGATTGGGGTAGAATTAGCGCATCTATAGATTCGAATCAATGTGCGATCGCACACATGATCGCGGAGTAACGAAAGATTCCCCTACAAAATTCATAATTAGGTTTTCATAATACCTTTTGTCCTAATTCCGCACTTCCCAATACATTATTTCCCTGTACCACTTTTTTCCAAATTTTAAGTAGGACCTTTTCCTATTTTTATGTCACGTTCGGTCCCTAGCACGCCCAGAAAAATAATTAAAATAAGATCACTCCTCTTCGAATGAGAACATTGTTCAAGAACAAGGTTATTTTAAGGTAAATTGTTTTTAATTGAATAATATTTTCGCATTGATACAAGTGAAAAATTGTACTTGTGCAAACCCGAACACAAATGTACGTAAACGAAAATTGGATTTTTCCGCGTGTGCTGAGATTGAAACAGGAAACAAAAAAATAGGAAAAAGTCCTACTTCAATTTCAGAACAAGTGGTGTAGGAAGTGCGAAAGCGTTGTGCGGAATCACCCCACAGAGCATTCCCCCCTGCCGGCCGAACCCCGTGGAGGTAGGCCACGCGGCGCTCTGCGCGCACGCCGGTGCGGCGGGTGGCCTACCCTCACCTCCGCGGGCGTTAGCTGCTTAGCGCGAGGTTCTTTCCTTTCCGCGCCGTCTGTTTACACTTCCAAGCGTGGTATAGATAATTGGCACTGTTGCTAAGCGACTCGCCGCGTCCCCTTTTCCCTGCTTCGCCCGGCCCGCACTGTTAAAAAAATCACGGTCACCCGCATAGGTAAATAACCGTTGATTTATATGAGGGTAACCGGCAACCGCCGTTCCTTGTTTCCGAACCCGTTTCCCCACACGAGCACATGTGAATAAAACCACAGATATGGAAAATGTACAGTTTTGGAATTTTAACTAATCTTACAAACGAAACAGACCATGCAAAGTTTTCATGTAACCCTTACAAGTGCATTTCTCACAGTGGTGACAGCGATTTTTTTTTATTTTGATCGAGAATAAGTTATTATAAATATGGAACTGCCTCTTAACAAACTTCGTAAGTATCATCTGCCTTCATTTCCCGTGTTGGTTCGAATTGTTTTTACTCAGATCGGACAGGAGCACGGCGCCTGCGAGACTCGGAGTAGGCCAGACCGCAGTACACGCATGCTCTGAAGGCAAGATATTGCCTACCTATTAGGCGCTATTAGAGCATGCTGGCAACTTGGAAGGTTTGTAAAGGCCGAATGACGGTCGCTCTTTCTTGATGATCCCTCCGACCCCTCCCCTCCTCAACTGGGCATGATTTTGTGGGGGGCCCGGTGCGGCGAGCCGTGACGATGGAAGCGACTGCGTGCTAACTCGTACACTCTCCTCTCGAGCCCCCCACCAGCCGGATGTCGGGTCTCGGCCCCAAGTGTTGTCTCACCACGCCCCACCCGTTTTGGTTCCTGTTTATAGATTGACGATTGACACCCTTTTAGATGATTTGATTCCCGTTTTTGCGTTTTAGATTCCAATTTTAACGTGTCCATGTCATTTTTTGGGATTGATTATTAAGAAGTTAGATCAAGTAATAGTATGACGCGGTATTACGCGGGATTTGTAGGAGCCGGAGGGGGGG